CAAAAAAAAAAAAAAAAAAAGCCACTGAACAAACAACAATAACAAACAGCAACAACACCAAATCCTGAGAAGGGAGGTGAATCTGATTACCAGTTGCCACATTTTATTATTTATTTATTTATTGAGCTGGAGTCTCACTCTGTCACCCAGGTTGGAAGGCAGTGGCATGCTCCCGGCTACCGCAGCCTCAACCTGCTGGGGTCCAGCGATCCTTCTACCTCAGCCTTCCAAGTAGCTACCATGCCGGCTAATTTTTTATTTATTGTAGAGACAAGGTCTCGCCAAGTTGCCTGGGCAGTTCTCAAACCCGTGAGCTCAGGCAATCCACTTGCCCCGGCATCTCAAAGTGCTGGGATTACAGGCTTAGCCACTGAGCCCGGCCAACATTTTATTATTTAAAATGTTTAATTTTCAACAACAAAAAAATTAGAAGACATATACATGCATGGATATAAGAAAGTGATCCATATTCAGGAAAAAAAGGCAGCCACTAAAAATCATTCTTGAAAAAGTCAAGACATTGGACTTACCAGGCAAAACTTTACATCATTTTTTTTTTTTTTTTGAGTTGGAGTCTCATTCTGTCACCCAGACTGGAGTGCAGTGGCTGCTCCTGGCCACCGCAGCCTCAACCTGCTGTGCTCTGGCAATCCTTCCGCCTCAGCCTTCCAAGTAGCTGGAACTACAGGCACACGCTACCACGCCCAGCTAATTTTTTGATTTATTGTGGAGATGAGGTCTCACCAAGTTGCCCAGGTGGGTCTCGAACCCGTGGGCTCAGGCAGTTCACTCACTTCAGCCTCCCAAAGCGCGGGATTACAGGCTGAGCCACTGAGCTCGGCTATCATTTTTTAAATACATTAAAAAACTAAAGGAAACATCTAAAGAACTAAAGAAAAGTATAAGAACAATGTTACAACAAATAAAGTATCAATAAAGAGATTAAATTATTCAAAAAAAACCAAACAAATTCTGGAGTTGAAAAGTACAATAACAGAAATTCACCAGAGGGGTTCAACAACATTTTCAATAGGCAGAAGAAAGAACCAGAAACCTAAAAATAGGTTTATGAAATTATCTAGTCTGAGAAATAGGAAAAAAAAGAATAAAGAAAAATGAACAGAGCCTCAGAGAACTGTGGGGCACCATCAAGTGTGCCAATATACTTGTAAGAGAAGTCCCAGAAGACAAAAAAAGAAAATGGAGCAAAAAATTTTAGAAAAAATAATTGCCAAAAACTTCCCAAATTTGATGAAAAACATTAATTTACACATCTAAGAAGCTCAATAAACTTCAAGCAGGATGAAAAGATTATCAAAAGGAAAGAAAAATGGACCAATCGCCACCCAGAGTTGGCAATAGGGTCTGACTACAAAGAGGCATGAGAGAATTTTGAGGAGCAATAGAACTGTTCTATATCGTAATTTTGGTGGTGGTTCTACAATTGTATGCATTTGTCAAGACAAACAGTACTGCACATGTAAAAGGGTACATTTAACTATAAAACTACATGTAAAATATACCTAATTTTAAGCAAAATGAAAAGGAAATAAAAGAGCAGGAAAGTGCTCTAAAATGGAATCTGGCTTTCTTCAACTTGGAAATAATTGACTTTCGTTTCATTCATATTCTAATAATCTAGCTAATGTTTTCAGTGACTCAAGAATTCATTAAAGTTGCAAGCATACACTTGTTTTCATATTAGATATAGTTGTTTTTATAACTGAGGCAATATAGTCTGCTTTAAATAATAATAAAAAGTACAAACCTGTAGAGTTTGGGGAGTAGCAGCATCTGTTGATAAACTGTCTTCACACCAGTCATAGTCTGTTAATCCAGTCACATAATTTTTATCACTTGTCATATCTTCCAGACTCAGATTCTTTGACTAGACAATGAAAAGACAGAAGAACTTAGAGACTATGATTTAATTTTTAAAATGCAATTATGCATCACTTAACAACAGGGATATATTCTGAGAAATGCATTGTTAGGCAATTTTGTCATTGTGTAAACATCACAGAGAGTAGTCACTACATAAACCGAGATGAAATAGCCTACTACACACCAAGACTAGATGGTACAGACTATTATTGATCCTATACTATAAAGCTATACAGTATGTTACTGCACTAATACTGTAGGTGATTATAACACAATGGTAAGTATTTATATATTTAAACATAGAAAAGGTACAGTAAAAATATAATCCTCCAGGACCAGCGTCATATATGCAGTCCAATAACAACTTAAACAGCATTATGAGGCACACAACTACAGTATATTCCAGGCATGGGCAAGATCCTAGAAGCAGAAACAAATGAGAGATAGTATAATGGAGGAGCTCACCATCCGCACCAAAAACAGAAAGTCAGAAAATATATAGATAGGAAAATCTCTGACTCTCAATGTCTTGGAACATTCCTGCATTATTTGGCATACTACTTAGCTTATCATTATCACATAATCACTATAATACTAGACAACTCTTTTGCAAATTCACAAATAAAAAGATCTGACAAAGCAGAAGACGACGGGAAACATCTTAAAATACAGGTTTCTGGAGGCGCAGTGGCTCAAGCCTATAATCCCAGCACTTTGGGAGGCCCGAGGTGAGAAGATTGCCTGAGTCCACGGGTTCAAGAACAGGCTGGACAACTTGACAAGACCTCATCTCTACAATAAATAAAAAAATTAGCCGGGCATGGTAGTGCACGCCTGTAGTTCTGGCTACTTAGAAGGCTGAGGCGGAAGGATCACTGGAGCCCAGCAGGTCGAAACTGGGGTGGCCATGAGTGTGTCACTATACTGCAGTCTGGGTGACAGAGTGAGACTCCAACTCAAAAAAAAAAGAAATACAGGTTTCTTGTAAAACCTCTAACTATAAGAACCTTAGAAAATGCAGGAGACACCCTTATGGAAATTGGAACTGGCAGCCGATTCCTGATCAAAACCCCAAGTGCCCATGTCATAAGAGATAAGATAGATAACTGGGACCTCATCAAACTGAAAACCTTCTGCAAAGCAAAAGAAACCATCAAGAGAGAGTGGAGAGATAGCCCACAAGAACAGGAATAAATATTTGCCAACTGTATATCTGACACAGGCCTAATGTCTAGGATCTACAAGGAAGTCAAGCGTGCCAAAAGGAACTTCTCAAAAGAAGATACATAGGCAGCCGACAGACACATGAAAAAGTGCTCAGCCTCACTAATCATCAGAGAAATGCAAATCAAAAATCACATTGAGATACCACCCAACTCCAGTAAGAATGGCCATCATTAATAAAACAAACAACAACAGATGCCGGCGAGGATGCAGAGAAAAAGGAACGCTTCTACACTGCTGGTGGGAATGCAAACTAGTGAAACTCTTTGGAAATCAGTGGGATTTCTGAAAGAACTAGAAATTGACCTTCCATAAGACCCAGCAATACCCCTACTGGGAATATACCCAGAGGAACTCAAATCATTCTACAAAAGATACCTGCACGCACGTTTATTGCAGCATTATTCACAATAGCAAAAACATGGAACCAACCGTGCTGCCCATCGAAACCGGACTGGATTAAAAAAAACATGGTAGGCCTGGCTTGGTGGCTCAGCCTGTAATCCTAGCACTTTGGGAGGCCGAGGAGAGTGGACTGCCCGAGCCCACAGGTTTAAGACAAGCCTGGGCAACTTAAGAATTAGCCGGGCGTGGAAGCGGGTGCCTGTAGTTCTGGCTACTTGGAAGGCTGAGGCGGAAGGATTGCCAGAGCCCAGAAGGTCAATACTGGGGTGGACGTGAGCGTGTCACTGCACTCCAGTCTGAGCGACAGTGAGACTCCACCTCAAAAAAAAAAAAAAGGAGCCAGGCTCGATGGCTCAGTCTGTAATCCCGCGCCTTTGGGTGGCAGAGGTGAGTGGATTGCCTGAGCCCGTGGGTTCGAGACCCACCTGGACAGCGAGACCTCATCTCTACAATAAATCAAAAAATCAGCCGGGCGTGAGCGCATGCCTGTAATTCCGGCTACTTGGAAGGCTGAGGCTGAAGGATCGCCGGAGCCCAGCAGGTTGAGGCTGCAGCGGCCGCTCCCGGCCACTGCACTCAGTCTGGGTGACAGAGTGAGACTCCAACTGAAAAAAAAAAAAAAGGTGGTGCATATACACAATGGAACATTATGTGGCCATAAAAAAGGATAAACATGTGGCCTTCACAGCAACTTGGATGGATTTACACTCTATCATACTCATTGATCTATCACAGAAACAGAAAACTGAGTACCACATATTCTCACTTATAAGTGGACCTTGAACAATTATCATAATACTATAAGAAAGGGATTGGCAGTAGTGGGAAATTGCCAGGAGAGGGGGACACACCTTATCAACAAGGGTACCTGCATAACGATCATTTGTATACCTAATCCTGAATCGTACTCCACATCTTTAAAATAAAAAATTTTTTAAAAGAGAAAGAAATTCAGGTTTTTTAGTTGCAGGAACACACAGAGTACTTAATAATTTCACCAGAAGTAAATTAGCCTTATGAAAGATCCCCCAGGGATAGGACATCTGGAGTTCTGTGCTAACACTGCTACTAAATTCATTTGTTTTCTTTCAAGCTTCTGCCTCTGTAAACTAAGGGTATACTAGCTATACCCTGAATTCAAGACTGTGAGGTGTAATTAGATTTTTTATTTCTCCTTCCTTCCTTTTCCCTCAATATCTGTTAACCTGACAGTTTCACTTAACTTTCTTATACCTCGTCCTTCTTTTCTAGTCTTGCTGCCACTATCCTAGTACAAGAATAAATCTTCTCATACCTGACTATCCAAACTGACAATATGGTCTGATCTCTGCTCTTGAGCTTTCCATCCTGTCAACCAGGGATGACATAGTTCTCTAGGATAGCCAATTACCATCAACTACAACTGGCTGCATGGGATGCTAGGCTGAGAAAAGTCATAAAGCTAAGTCTAGGCTAGGTGGAGAAAAGTAGTGTCGTCCAAATGATGGCAGTCATGGGCACTGTGGTAGGGACTAATAGCAAACATACCAACGCTGACTACAATTCTATACACCTCTGGATGAACTTTACAAAAGCAAAGCCATGTCTCTCTTGCTCAAAAATCAGTGGTTGCCCATTACCTACTGCACAAAGTCTAAAACTGACATGGCATTTCCAGGTTCTCTACAATCTAGTTCTTACCTATCCTTCTGGCTCACTTGTCCTCTCTCCTTCTCTCACTCTTCCCCTACTTAAACTCTTCTTTTTAACCAAACCAGTCTGGCCACCGTCAACAATATATCAAGCACAATTAGGTGCTGAGCTTTTGCGGATTCCACTTGCCCTGAAAACTGTGCTGCTTCTTTTCTACTTTTCTAAACTCAATTGTTGGTCCAGTTTGGATCTCCCACAGTGATTACTCCCGTCCTCTAACATCCTCCAGCATCCCCTGGCCACTTATCGGCCCCTATCCTGTACTACGATGTAGTGTCATCTATATACATGCCTTGCCTCAACTTGACTGTTAGAGAGCAAGTACCACATTTTACACAGATTTGTTTTCCAAGATCCCAGCATGGGGCCTGAGAATGCTAATGAAGGTGTTGATGATGTGGTCTTTTGTATGATTCTTGGATCTGACTGTGTTAGTGTTTCACTGAAAGTGCCATCTATCAATTAATGGTTCAAGATTACTTAAATTTTTATAAATAATACTCCAGAGAAAAAGATAATACTATTAAAGGGGAGAACAATGCCAAGAGACTATGTGATTTGTGTCATCTCAATACTTAGAATAATTGCTTTAACTAAATTCTTAAGTTTACAAATTTAGCTAAAGTGATTATTCTAAGTATAGAGGTGTCTAACAACTTTCTGCAATTACCTTGTTTAAAAGCAAAGTTCACGGTTTTGCATCCTCCTGGACCCGTATGTGTTACATGAGCCTGGAAGTATAAAGGGTTTGGCAATATGGGCAGGATAGGTGATGGGGTGATTCATGAAGCTCATGTGCAAAAGATCTGCCTGGGCATGGGGTATGCATCAGCCTAATAAAATTCTCCAAGAACAGACTAGAAAATTATTCTAGGAATAAGATTATCTCCCTTTAGAAATTTCTTTGCATAATAGCCACCTGTACTGACCAATTAAGGAGGGAAAAAAGGAGGAAGGTTAGGGCCTGGCAGGGATATAAGACAAAGCACATGACTGATAAGTGACAAAAAGAGATCTAAGTGAGATACTAAAGGAAATTGAGGTGAGAGGGATTCAACAAAAGATCATGGAAGAAGAGGCATTTTAACATTTTTTTTTTACAGTTTTGGAACCTATAGAAAAAAAAATCACCTCATCCACATTAGTCAATTGGGTTGTCTTGGATTCCACAAAGAGGGTCAACTACCTCTCTCTGAGGATAACAAAGATATACAGTTTCCTACTGCTAAAATCACTTAAACTGCAAACAGAATTAATCTGAAGGAAGATTATATTACAAAGTTCCATACCCATCTGGCAAAGTATTTAGATGGCTAAACTTTTTCTTTTTTTTAGTTGGGGTCTTGTTCTGTTGTCCAGGTCAGAGTGCAATGATACGATCATGGCTCACCCCAGCCTTGATCTCCTGGGCTCAGGTGATACTTTCACCTTAGCCTCCCAAGTAGCTGGGACTACAGGTGCATGCTACCATACTCAGCTATTTTTTTTATTTTTGTAAAGACAAAGTCTCATTATGTTGCCCAAGATAGTCTCAAACTCCTGGGCTCAAGCAATCGTCCGACCTTGTCCTCCCCAAAGTGCTGGAATCATAAGTATGAGCCAGCCGGGCTCGGTGGCTCAGCCTGTAATCCCACGCTTTGGGAGGCCAAGGTGAGTGGATTGCCTGAGCCCGCCGGTTCGAGACCCGCCTGGGCAACTTGGCGAGACCTCATCTCTACAATAAATCAAAAATTAGCTGGGTGTGATAGTCCGTGCCTGTAGTTCCAGCTACTTGGAAGGCTGAGGTGGAAGGATTGCCAGAGCTCCGGCCGGTAGAGGCCGGGAGCAGCCACTGCACTTCAGTCTGGGCGACAGAGTAAGACTCCAACTCAAAAAAAAAAAAGGTATGAGCCACTGCATCCAGCCTAGATGGTTAAATTTTAAGCCATGGGAAATACAAATAATCACACTGAGAACAGAGACTAATGTGAGCATCTAGGAATGACATGGTGCCTCTGCCATTCTAAATGCCCGTGACAAAGAAAACTAAGACAAAGACACCAAAATAGAGAAAAATAATTTGGTTATTACTAACTCTAATGCCAGGAATTTGAGTTGCACTGAGTTAGCTACTGCTCAAAACAAGAATGCAGAAAGAAACACTAATCAACATGAAGTTGGTCGATTTCAGTAAAGAGCAAATTTTATAACAAAAACCTTAACATAAATATCAAAATATTCCATGTCATATAAAGCAATATATATCCAGTATTTACAGATCTTGTTCTCAACAAATTTTAAAATTGTTTTCTACAATTCAATAATACTATGTCGTTTAAAAGTACTCAAATGTATATAAATTATATAAATAAGCACACTAAAAAAAGAGACTGGAAAGACACAGTAAATAGTATTAACTACATCCTCTATAGGTAGTAGATTTATAGGTAAATTCTACTTTCCTTTGAGCTCATCTGTGGCTTAAAATTTTTCTACAACAATCAGGATTTACTTTTTTATGAGGAGGGGAGTAGAGAGAAGATGTTTGTAAAATGCCATATTAACATTCAAAATTTTAGAGTTCAATTTCAGAGCTTCCCATTTTTTTCATCAAAAACGTTTAAGCTGTAAAACATCTTGCCTTTGGCTCCTTGACACCAGAAAGCTTACTTTCCCAGCAGTGTGGTTGGTCATTCATGAACAAGGCAAGCACGTGGCAAGACCAGCATGTTCACACAAAAAATTCTAACACTTACCTGGATGTCTGAGACTGGGGTAGAACTGGTTTGTCCACAGGAAAAAGGAAGAAGTCTTAAACGAACTGGTTTTCCCCGAGCCTTCTTGACTAGAAGCAGAAGATAGGTAGCTGTGAGGTGATCGTATTGCCACTAAAGGAGAAGAAAACCAAGTTGTTTAGAAGACTAAAAGTTGTTTGTTGAAACAATGTTATACTTAAAATTATTTTTTTCTTCAATGTAACAGACATTCAAAATTTTAAAAGCCAATAACTTTACAAAGCATGAAATAAAAAATAGCAATCCCCTGCACCACACCTCTACACACATAATTTCCACTCTCCAGAAGAAACCACTTTTAGATATTTCTTTTGCTATTAATTCCATTTTTCTAAATAATCGCTTATGTAGTTTTACATTGTTTTTAGCTTCAGATATCATCTATAAATTTCCCAGCATGAAAAATAAAAATATTGCCACAGTTCATGCCTGTAATGCCAGCACTTTGGGAGGCCGAGGTAGGAGAATCACTTAAAACCAAAAGCTCAAGACCAACCTGGGCAACAAAATGAGATCCCATCACTACAAAACATAAAAATTAGCAGGTATGGTGGTACATGGCTACAGTCCTAGCTACTCAGGAGGCTAAGGACCACCTGTGCCCAGGAATTAGAGGCTGCAGTGATTTATGGATCATGCCACTGTACTCCATCCTGAGTGACAGAGCAAGATTTTATCTTTAAAAAAAAAAAAAAAGGCCATGCTTGGTGGCTCAGCCTGTAATTCCAGCACTTTGGGAGGCCAAGGCGAGTGAATTGCCCAAGCCCGTGAGTTCAAGACCAGCCCAGGCAACTTGGCGAGACCTTGTCTCTACAATAAATCCAAAATTAGCCGGGTGTGGTAGCACATACCTATAGTTCCGGCTACTTGGAAGGCTGAGGCAGAAGGGTTGCCAGAGCCCAGCAGGTTGACGCTGGGGTGTCCATGAGCATGCCACTGCCCTGGGCAATGGAGTGAGACTCCAACTCAAAAAAAAAAAAAAAAGAAAAATCCCTCTCTTCCCCACACATCTCCTCCCTGTATCTTCCTATTATAATTTTTAGCTAAATCAATATTTACATTATGATTATGTAAGTAGCATTCATACTAAGTAGGAGTAATGTTCAAAATAGTTCATTGGTACCCTAACACCAACCAATCAGAATAGAGACAAGGCCAAGAGGTCAATAGGGTCCTGGGAGACCCCTACCTTGCCAATTATAACCGTTTAATTGTGAGATGAGGGGTGGGGGTGGTCCCCAGGGTGTCCAAGGGAGATATCAGGAAATAGGGAAGGCACTTGGGGTAGTAGTTATTTACCAATCAGCATATAAATATCCGAATATTTTCACAACCAATATGGTCATATTGGCTGAATAACAGCCCTGCAGCTAAAATATACAGGGTACTGTTATTGCATTCCCTATTTTTATAACTTTGTTTTTCCTGAAGTTAAAAAGAGTTAAGTATTCTTCTTACAAATTCAACTCTACACTCTCTAACGCTCTTTACCATGCTACTCTGGACTGGCTTCTTTCTCAGTCTGCTACTCAACTCTCAGTCTAGGAATTCCTTTCACCTCCATCCTACAATGTATCCCAGTTTCCTAGGTATTTTTCTTTCTTGGTTAATTCTCTTGATTTGGTGGAGCACATCCTCTAGTAACTTCCTGAGGGCATGTGCATGGTAGGTAAATTTTTTGATATGCTGCATGTCTGATGAATGACTGCATTCCATCTTCAAACTTGATTCTGGTTTGGTTGAGTATAGAATTCTAGGTTAACAATAATCTTCACGGTTTAGATGGCATTATAGTCTTCTTGATTCTAGCATGCTACTGAAACCTGAAATCTTTCTGATTCCAAGCTTTTTGAGTATGACCTTTCGTTTTTTACCTTTGAAAACTTCCTGAATCATCACTTTTCCCCAGTTTTCTGGAATTTCCCCTAAAACAGGCCTTGGTGTAAATCTATCTTCATCCCACTGTGCCAAGCCCTAGTTAAGCCCTTTCATCCTCAGAAACTCACATTCTTCAGTTCTGGAATATTTATCCTTATATTATTTATTTGATCGTTTCTTCTCCTCTTTCTATTTTGTCTTCCAGCAACTTGTGTTATTTGTATGTTGGATCTTTCTTACCCCTTCGTTCCTAACTTTGCATCTCTTTGTCTTCATTTTTAAAAGATTTCAAATTAACTGCGTTTTCCAATATTTCTACTGAACTCTTAATTTATGTGGTCACATTTTAGATTTTCAATAGCTATCTCTTGGAATGTTCCTTTTTAGTCATTTCTATTTCAAGAATGAAATAGCTTCTATTATCTATGAGAACAGTAATTAGCAGTGTTTAGCCATTTTCTTCCATTCTCTGCATATCTGTTTTTTCAGAGTATTTTTACTTTTTCTTCCTTCTTCTCCCCACCCCACTCCATTTGATATCTGACTTTCATGTTAGAAGTGTTCCTCAAATTTCTAACAATCTTTGGTTGTCTGTTTCTATTTAAAAGTGAAGAATTATATTATACAGCTGATTAGAGGCTCTTTGTGTAGGATGGGGCTACTCATTACTTTGAGGGCTTTTTTCTCTAAGGTGAACAGACAGGAACCTGAACTTCCAACCACTGGTATAGTAGGTCAATTATCTTGGCTTTCCCTAGAGACAAATTTTCCAATATTTTCCCCACCCCACTGCAAACAGGATAAAATCCTGGTTCCAGCATTCTCAGAGGTGAACAGAAATGGGGGTTAGAGGTGGTGGTTCACTGTCTGATATGAAGACGTTGTACGTCCATTTCAGAGTGGCTCGTCATTCCCGCCTAAGCTGTGTCTGGTACAAGAATGCCTCTGATTCAGTATCTCCAGTCTTCTTCTGGGGTGGGGAAGAGGGGCCTGCTGGGCAGCACAGGGAAGAGAAAGGGCCTTAGAGTTCTAAATGCTTCTACTACAGACTTCCAGTCATCTTCCTATTTCAGCCCTCCTCGCTTCTCTGACTTCAGAGGTTCCTGGTACCTCTGATCCCTGAGCCTTGTGGAGTTCTGGGGGGCCTAATCAGTTTGCTTGTTGACTTTTCCCACTGCAAGTACTTAGCATTCAGCTTTCTCCAAAATGCTGCCAGCTACCACATATCTATTTTATAATTTCCACATTTTTTACTGACATACCTTTTGACTCCTTTTTTATTCTCTTTGCCCCCATGATATTTTTTTGTCTTTTTATTCCTTCTTTAAATTTTTCTAGTGAGGTTTCAGGCAGTGTTAGATGTAAACTATCTTCAAACCACCGTGTTTAACTGAACATTTCTAAATTATATACTCATAAGACTGAGATGTTCTGCCCCCTAAGTGTTAAACTTTAACAATACTAAATAATCTTTAACGCCATGCATCCCTCTCACAAATATATGACTCAAAAAAGTCAAATACCAACTCTGTTTTGTTTTGTTTGAGTCAGAGTCTCACTCTGTTGCCCAGGCTAGAGGGCAGTGGCATGCTCATGGCCACCACAGCCTCGACCTGCTGGGCTAAGGTGATTCTTCTGCCTCAGCCTTTCAAGTATCTGGAACTACAGGCATGCGCCACCATGCCCAGTCAATTTTTTGATTTATTGTAGAGATGAGGTCTCACTAAGTGGCCCAGGCTAGTCTCGAATCCGTGGGCTCAGGCAATCCTCTCACCTCGGTCTCCCAAAGTGCTAAGATTATAGGTGTGAGTAACTGCACCTGGCCCCAACTCTGCTTTTTATTAATAAATTTTATCAGTTAATGTTTTAGATGACCACAATCACAGTATAGAAATTTGCATAATAGGCCAGGCATGGTGGGTCATGCCTGTAATCTCAAACTTTGGGAGGCCAAGATGGGACGATCACTTGAGGCCAGAATTTCAAGACCAGCCTAGACAATATAGAAAGATCCTATCACTACAAAAAAAAAAAAAAAAGAATCAGCCATGCTTGATAGGCCTGTAGTCCCAGAAACTCAGGAGGCTGAACTATGATCATGTCACTGCACTCCAGCTTGGGCAACAGAGCATAATCCTATCTCTAAAAAAAAATTTTTTTAAACTAAGAAAGAAATTTGCATGTTGAGCCTATCAATCTAGTGGGGAAGTATAAAATACAGTGATAAATTATCATGGTTTGTTGCCTTTAATCCAGACAGGGTAGAGGAAAGAAAGGACAGAAAAGGCTCATGGAGAAGGTATCTGAAAATTGGGTGAAAACTATGCAATTACAATCACTCCTCACTTTCCAAAAACAACATTAAAAAACATTTTTCCCACTCCACATCTGTAATACCCTGTATGACTGCTGCCTTTTTGAGATTTCACAAACTGACTATAGACAGTGGCTAAGAAATAGTCACCACTTTCTTATCAACAATGACATGGCGCAACCCAGGCAGCTATAAATGATTCCTCAATAGTGCTAAGAATTTCAGATGGAATTTTCTGAACACGTCTAGGAGTTTTATAACCATCTTCTAAACCCTCCTTTTTCCTAGGCAAAGAGCATCTTTTTTACAACTTTCTTGCATGGCCACAGTACACTTCTTATTATGGTAAGATACACAGGGTTCTGTGTTCAGTAACAGATGAATTAACACATTAGTTACACATTAGGTGATGTCAATCCACAAGTCTAACACAATTGGCTCCCTTATCTTTCAGGCATTTCCCTCTTTAAAAAGTCAAACATTTGAAAGTATAAAGAGTTAGGTTTACCTATTAGAAAGAAGTTTCCGCCAGGTGCGGTATCTCATGCCTGCAATCCCAGCACTTTGGGAGGTGGAGGCGAGAGGATTGCCTGAGTCCAGGGGTTCAAGGCCAGCCTGGGCAACTTGGCAAGAGCTCATCTCTACAATAAATCAAAAAATTAGCTGGGCGTGGTGACGTATGCCCATGGTTCCAGCTACTTAGAAGACTGAGGCAGAAGGATAGCCAAGCCCAGCAGGTAGAGATTGCGGCCGTGAGCATACCACTGAACTGTCTGGGCAACAAGGTGAGACTCCTACAAAAAAAAGAAAGGAAGAAAGGAAGGAAGGAAGGAAGGAAGGAAGGAAGGAAGGAAGGAAGGAAGGAAGGAAGGAAGAAGGAAGGAAGGAAGGAAGGAAGAAAGAAGTTTCCATTTCCAGAAAACCAAAAACATGTTTAAATCCCAGGTTAACATCAACAAGGGTACCTGCATAATGAACATTTGTATACCTAACCCTGAATTGTACCCCACATATTTAAAATTAAAAATTAAATTTAAAAAAAATCTCGAGTTTAAAAAAAAAAAATCTCGAGTTAAAGAAGTTCCCAGGTACCTGGTCTGAGAAGAGGGTTAGAGAAACTGAGGAGTGGCCCATTACTCTTCCCCTTACCTCCATCAGAGGCGCTCAATCTTCATACACATGGGTATTTGCATCACAGGGTTAAGGGAAAAAGATCTGTCATGGTTTGAATAGATTCTTGTATGCACACGTGATCCCTTAGTGAAGGTCCACTGCCAGATGACTGGCTGCTCCCACAGTCCAGAGCTACTCACAGCTAGAGGAATAGAAGGAAACTAAGGATAGCAATAAGGTAGAAGCTCTAGCACCATTGTTAGGAATCTCAAAAGGGCTACAATGAAATCATTCAAAATCATGAGACGTATGAGATCCTGTCCAATGCATATAAAAAGGAGTTCAGGGCCAGGCAATGGTAGCTCATACCTGTAATTCCAGCACTTTGAGAGGCTGAGGCAGGAGGATTGCTTGAGCCCAGGAGTTTGAGACCAGCCTAGACAACACAGCAAAACCTCATCTCTACCCAAAAAAAAAAAAAAAAAAAAAAAAAAAATCAAAAAATTAGCCAGGCATGGTAGCATGTACCTAGTAGTCCCAGCTACTCAGAGGCTGAGGCAGGAGGATTGCCCGAGCCTAGAAGGTCAAAGCTGCAGTGAGCCATTACGGTGCCACTGCACGCCAGCCTGGGCCACAGGGAGAGATCTTGACTCAAAAAACAAACAAACAAAAAATAGTTCAGGAGTGCTTGTGTATACAATATGAAAGTGGGAGTTCTATATAAGTTGAATGTTTGAGAATAATAGTGTTTCTCTTTTTGTACAAAGATCAGCCGCACCAAACCAGTGTGGATCATACTGAACTAACATCTCTCTATCCTGTCTAGTCAGCCCCAAAAGTAAAGGCAGAGCTCCCAAAATGTCATTATATATATATATAAATGTCATAATATATATATAACAGATCTCAGCTAATTTCAAACCTGGTTTTCCTGAGGCTCTTCAAACTGAAAAGTATATAAAACCAACATGAATTCCGAGACTCCCCAGACCAGGGTTTCTCAATCTTGGTACTACTAATGTCTGACCTGGATAATTATTTGTTGTGAAGGTCTCTTTTGTGCATTGTAGGATGTCTAGCAGCATCCCTGGTTTCTACCCACTAGATGCCATTAGTACACACACACATACATACACACACATACACACACACACATTCCAATTATAACAACCAAAAATGTCTCCAGGTATTGCCAAATGTCTCCTGACTTCACTAAGGAGTCACATGTGCATACAAGAACCTATGCAAACCATGACAGATCCTTTTCCCCACCCCTGTGATGCAAATACTCATTTGTGTAAACACTGAGGGCCTTGGGAGGCGGTCAGAGGAAGGACAATGGGCCACTCCTCAGTTTCTCTAATCTTCCTCTTAGACCAGGTATCTGGAAACTTCTTTAACAGTTAACTGGACATTTAAAAATCAATCCTGCTTGAGAACAAATGACCCAGACAAATACTTCTCAAGCTTTCGTGTACATATGTATCACTTGGGAAGTTTATTAAGCTGCAGATTCCAATTCAGTAATTCTGAGGTGAGGCATTTCTAACAAACACCCAAGGAAGACTGATGCTGCTAGTTCCAGACCTACTTGAAATAGCAAGACTCTAGAACAGTGTTTCTCAACTCCAGGCTGCACACTACAATCATTTAGGAAGCTTTTAAAAATGCTGATGCATACCCCAGATCAGCTGAATCATAAACTCTAAGGGCAGGCCCTATATATCAGCACTATTTTAAGAGTCCCCAAGTGATTCCAGTGTACAGCCAAGGTGAGAATTGCTAGCCTAGAGTCAGTAATCTGTATTCTACTCATGCCGGGGACCGATCATAAATATAAACAGGAACTGAAGAATGAGAGACAAGTACAGAGGAAGAAAAACTAGGCCAGGCTAGGTGGCTCAGCCTGTAATCCCAGCACTGTACATCTGTAGTTCCAGCTACTTGAAGGCTGAGGCGAAAGGATCGCTGAAGCCCAGCAGGTCAACACTGGGGTGACTGTGAGTATACCACTGTACTCTACCTGGGCAACAGGGTGAGATGGTGACTTTAAAAAAAAGAAAAGAAAGAAAGAAAAGAACAAGAAAAACCGTTACTTTCCTCATGGCATTCTTGATGCTAGTCCTGCTTAACTTTCAGAATAACCGAAAAGATCTTTATAGAGATTTGTAATGCCAGAAAACCTCTAATATGCCTCATTATATTTTTCTACATCAGAAGTAGGAAAAGGAATTAACTCATATTTGTGTTTCACTTTTAGATTTGAAAACTGTAGGTAGAAACCTCATAATGGATACCATTTTTTTTTTTTTTGAGTTGGAGTCTCCCTCTTGTTGCCCAGGTTAGAGTGCAGTGGTACACTCACGCCTACCACAGCCTCAACCTGCTGGGCTCAGACGATCCTTCCACCTCAGCCTTCCAAGTAGCTGGAATTACAGATGCATGCCACCATGCCTGGCTAATGTTTTGTGATTTTTTTTATTGTAGAGACGAGGTCTCACCAAGTTCTCGAACCCCTGGGCTCAGGCAATTCTCTCAACTCAGCCTCCCAAAGTGCTAGGATTACAGGCTGAGCCACCACGTCCAGTCAAGGATACTATTTGAAGGACTTTTTTTTCCCCAATGATTCTTGATACTCTTAGTATGTTACTTTTAAGATTCAGATTTCAAAATTTTATGGATCTCATACCAAATTTTTCTTGAATAAAATGACATAATGTCTGAGATCTGCTTGGAAATACCCTAGCTGGAAAGGGTAGATGAGGGAAGGTGACAGGATACAGAAAAAAATGGCAAAGTGTTACTAACTGTTAAAACTGGATTATGAGAACATGAACTCTCAGTGTTATTACATTATTCTCTTCACTTTTATGGGTATCTCAAAATTTCCATAATAAATTGTTTTTTAATTTTGTTATCTAAATATCATCTTCTAGTAAAGATCATCCCAAAGAAAAAGTCCTATAACTGTTTTTTTTTTTTAGGTTGCTTAAAGGGAAACTTCAAATATTCGTTGATGAAAGACTAAGAAACTGATATATCTTGTAGCAATTCCCAATTTGTGCCATTCCCTTAAAGGCATTTTCCATGAAAAATAAAATTATATTTCTGTTTTCCACACATTCCAGAGCCTTTGCTTATTATGTCATTCAAAAGAATTCCTTTACATATCTTCTTTACTGAAAAAGAATTGTGCCTTTGCAAAGTTTTGTTTAGAAAAGAAAAAAATTGCTTAAGGACATTACTTTACAAGTTAAAGAACAAAAATAACAAATATAAATCATGGGTGATGAAAGACATGGTACTGGATGAGGGGCAAAGTTAGGTTCATCTTCACTCTTCATATTACATTGTGCTCAGACAGCTGTGAATGCCTCAATCTCTAGAAAAAACACAGGTGCGATCTAGAGATTAAGCATCTGAAAAAGCTAAAATGATCTAACACCAAAAATCACGCTAATGATTTCATGGTATTTGTTTTGTAAGCTTAGAGGGTGATATGTTGCTATAGGGTTGCTTTTAGGTAAGAAGAAAATTGCTTTGTGTTTACCTCATTTCCACAGCAGAATCAAAGCTGCAAGTTAGAAAACTTTAAAACAGTCAAAATTTGGACTCTGTTGATTCTTTGAGGACTAATTTGTTCTGTTTCTTAATAATTTTTTCACTATAAGTCCCTTTAATTAGTATCTCAAGTATAAGTACAGGGTATTCATTTTTAAAGAAGATACCCAGTAGACATCAGAAAGAATTGAGTGAAAATCATAATAAGCATGAAATAAATGCAATATTTACATCTATAAGAAAGCCATAGGCCTGAAAATGTGTCACTATTTTTAACGTACTGATAAAATAAAGAACAATTAAACAAAAGATATTACTCTCAAATTCATGTTGTATTTCTTACCAATGATATTAAATCCTCCATTGTTTGCTTGTTGTTTCTGTGATGTACAGCAAGTTCTGTTACACAATCATCATCAAGGTGAATAAACTACAAAAAAAGTGTATGCTTTAGTAAAAAATTACAATTTTTTACAATTACAAGTATCTATTGTTTTGAAGTTTTAACATCAGCATAACTTCTGTTTAAAATCAAACTCCAATATGTAAAAACAATATGAATCTGTCAAATTCCTGGGCAAGAATCAACATTCTCCATAATTTCATAAGATATAAGCATGTGACAATAAGCATTTCAAAAAGATAAGTTCCTTCTCAGCTCTTCACAACCTCAAGATCTAACCGATTGTTAAAATTCTGTTGTGCAGCCCAGAGACCCCTTCCTTATCACAAAACCTACATTGGTATTTTTTATTAAAAAACAGCCTAGAATCAGTGGCTGTACAGTAGACTGGTAAAAGAGTGACTCAGACTTATAGTGTAGGGTACCTCAGGATATATTTAGGTTTAATACACTCCAAGAAGCTCTGAAAATGGTGCTATAGTTGCTACACAGTCATTATTATGCTGAAGGTGCTAACAAAGCACATTTAAAAAGAATAAGTGAGAGCCTCTATACAAACTTCGCTTTGCTTAAGACTAGAAATCAGTCAGGCATGGTGGCTCACGCTTGTAATTCTTGTTGTTTGGGAGGCGGAGATGAGAGGACTGCCAGAGCCCACAGGTTCAAGACTAGCCTGGGCAACATGATGAGCCCTCATCTCTACAACTAATCAAAAAATAAGCCTGGCATGGTGGTGCATGCCTGTAGTTCCAGCTACTTGGAAGGCTAAGGTGGAAGGATTGCCTGAGTCCAACAGGCTGAGGCTGTGGTAGCTGTGAGCATGCCATTGCACTCCAGCCTAGGTGGCAGAGTGAGACTCTGACTCAAAAAAAAAAGAAAAAATAGAAATTATCCAAGTATTCTGATCCCTGCTTGACAGTACCTCACCAAAAGTGGGGCCAGAAATGGGTTCTCAGAACTGAACAAGGATCATGGAGAACAAAAGTATAGGAATGACCTGGTCTGGACCTGAAAAGGAGCTCAGAAGATCACATGGGAAGAGAATCATAAGGAACACGATTTTACAGCTCATCTTTCCGATGTAAGAATTCTCTTCACAACAGCCCCAGTAAGTATTTTACTTTCTGCTTAAAGTCTTCCTCTTCAAGGAACTCAGAACACCTGGAATAGCTGGCTAGCTTCTCCCTCCTGATGTCTGAGATCTGTCTCCCTGTGCTCTCTGCCCACTGAGAGTTGGAATAACCTGACAGCTAACAGGCTTTAGAATTAGACAGACCTTGGTTTTAACTGCGACATCACTTTTATCAATTATGTGACCTTGAGCATGTTACTACACCTCTTTGTCTCAGTTACATCATCTGTCAAAGAGAGATGGTATATAGCTTGCAAAATATGTAACATATGGTGAATGCCTAGTACAACACCTAAACAGAGAAGGCCTGAAGAAATGGCTAACTATATTCACTAACAATCATAATTATATTTCTACCTTGAAATGAAAGCCTTTCAGGAATTTGAATATTCCTATTGCAGGCAACTTTTCTTCTCCAAGTCTTCTCTCTTCCATTCCTTCAACCACAAATGAGTCTCTCCTTACCATTCTGGCCCCTTCTTTAGATTACACACTCTAGGTTGTCATTAACCCTCAAGGAGAGAACCAAACATCCTATGAAAGAGAGGGCTACCAAGCACGAGGCAGAACAATATCATGATCTTCCCTTGTCCTGGACATCACACTTGTAAGAAAAAGTCATGTAGAAGTCATGTAATAAGAATATTCAACACTTCTACACTGTTGGTGGGAATGTAGACTAGTACATCCTCTGTGGAAAAGTTTGGTGATTCCTAAAAGATCTAAAAATCGACCTTCCATATGACCCCGCAATCCCCCTACTGGCAATATACCCAAAGGAACTCAGACCACTCTATGAAAAAGATACCTGTACATGCATGTTTATTGCAGCATTATTTACAATAGCAAAAACATGGAACCAACCATGCTGTCCATCGAAAGAGGACTAGATTAAAAAAAAAAAAAAAAAAGGTGGGGCAACACCCTCAGGCCCCCTTCCACTTCCACTGTGGGATCTTTTCTGTCCTTGCCATAAATCCTGCTCCCCAAAAAAAAAAGTGGTGCATATACATGATAGAGTATTATGCAGTCATAAAGAAGGACAGATTGGCTAGACTTGGTGGCTCAGCCTGTAATTCCAGCACTTCGGGAGACCGAGGCAAGTGGATTGCCTGAGTCCGTGGGTTTGAAACCAGTCTAGACAACTTAGCGAGACCTCATCTCTACAATGAATAAAAAATTAGCCGGGTGTGGTTGTGTGTGCCTGTGGTTCAGGCTGCTTGGAGGGCTGAGGTGGAAGGATCGCCGGAACCAAGCATGTTGATGTTAGGCTGACTGTGAGCTTGCCACTGCACTCCAGCCTGGGTGATGGAGTGAGACTCCAACTCAAAAAAAAAAGTGCAAAATTATGAACTTTGCAGCAACTTGGATGGACTTGGAGTCTCTAATACTGAGTGATCCATCACAGAAACAAAGAACCAAATACCACATGTTCTCACTCATAAGCGGACCTTGAACAGTTATCATAATAGTATAAGAAAGGGGTTGGCAGCCGGGCTCAGTGGCTCAGCCTGTAATCCCGCGCCTTTGGGAGCCCGCGGGTTTGAGACCCGCCTGGGCAGCGAGACCTCATCTCTACAATAAATCAAAAAATCAGCCGGGCGTGGTGGCGCATGCCTGTAATTCCGGCTACTTGGAAGGCGGAGCCCAGCAGGTCGAGGCTGCGGTGGCCGGGAGCGACCACTGCACTCCAGTCTGAGCGACAGAGTGAGACTCCAACTCAAAAAAAAATAAATAAATAAAAATAAAAATAAAATAAAATAAAATAAATTTTAAAAAAAGAAAGGGGTTGGCTGTAGTTGGAAACTGCCAGAGGAGGGGAAGGTGGGATTGGCAGTAGTGGGAAACCGCCAGGGGAAGGGGGCATGCCTCATCAACAAGGGGAACTGCATAATGAATATTTGTATACTTAACCCTGAATTGTACCCCACATCTTCAAAATTAAAAATTTTTTTTTACAAAAAAAAAAAGAATATTCAAATCTCCAAAAGTCCTTTATTTCAAGGTGGAAATATAATTATGACCTTAGTGAAAATAGCCATTTCTTCAGGGCCTACTCTGTTTAGGTGTAGTCATGAAAAGAAGAAACAGTAAAGACATTTTTTCCTCTTCAAAATTTATATGTCAAAACCTAATCACTAATATGATGGTATAAAGAAGTGGGACCTTTAGGAGGTGAATAGGTCATAAATGGGTTTCTGTCTTCATGAATGGGCTTAGTGCCCTTACAAAAGAGGCCCCAGAGGGCTGCCTTTCCTGTTCCGTGATGTGAGGACACAGCAAGAAGTTGTTCTATGAACAAGGAAGATCTGCTGGTGCCTTGATCTTAAACTTCCCAGATTCCAGAACTGTGAGAAATAAATTTCTGTTCTCTTATAAGCCACTTAGATTATGGTATTTTGTTTTAGCAGCTCAAACAGACTGAGGCAATCTTGCATTATTGGCTGGTACAAACACAATCCCGTGGGTTACAGAGAAAGTAGAGTCCACAAAGTCTTCTTCTAGTGATACTGTGAAAGTCCAAAGTGCTAAGAATAAATTTTCCTTGTGTTGCTTTGATCTCAGCAGCTCCTAGAACTGTAGAGTCCCCCATCAGGATGGTCTCACCCTCAGAAGTCCAGACACTTGAACACCCAGGTAGGTATCTTCTTGTTAATGTCATCATTGATCAAGCAAAAAAAGAAGAATATTTGATGTTTCCTCCATGATCTTAAGTTAACCCCCTGCCTCCCCAAAAAAGAGAACCTCTTTCTCCCATAACCTCCTGCTTTGTACCTTTAACACAAGAAGTGTATGGGAAAGGGAGAAAGGAGCTACGATCATCTCTGCTGAGTTCCTGAACTAGAAACAATAAAATAGGTGGGGTGGAAAAGACACCTATGTCTGAAAAACATGATTAATCTCAAGCTGGGTTTTCCAAAGAAGCTCAATAGTTTAAGTGCTCTGAATTCTAAGCCACACATACTCAAGTTAAATCAAGTACAAAAATGCACACCAAAAGCTAGTCAATTATTGTGGATTATCCGTGCCTACCACATTTCCTGTTCACTAGGGCAGAAAATGAAATTGAATATAACTTCTATTTGATACAATACTTGGGTACTGAGCTATGTGTGAAAACAGTAGGAGGTGACCATGCATAGAGTTATGAAAGAGCATCTATACCTTAAATATTCAAGTAAATCTGAATTATTTTTTATTGTTACTCTTGATGAAACACAATACTGAGAGAAGAAAATACTTCAAAAAGCAACAATACTCTTTTACACCTCTTCCGTATATAACTCATTTGATCCTGTAACAGCTCAATAAGGCAGGCAAAACAGATGAAAGACACAGGATGTAAAGGTACTTTATAAATGACAAAACATGACCCAAATAGGCATAGGAGATTGACATTAGAATATTCGTATTAGAGGTGATAATATGAAGACTCAGAAAAGTTGCTGTGATCTGCCCTAGACTGGCATTTTTCATTCTCAGCCCAGGGATTTTCTACCACAACCACAATTACCTCTCATGACTCTGCTGCAGTAGTTATTCAACAGAGACCTAACCAGCAATGCTTGCCACAAAGGCTGCAAATGCACAGGATAAAGGTCCTGAGCTTGAACCAGCTGACCTATTAGAACACTCCGTTCCAGCACCCACCTGTCTGGGTTCAAATCCTGATTCTACACTTACTAGTTTTTGATCTTGGGCAAGTTACTTAATGATTGTGTCCCAGTTGCTTCATCTGCAAATTGGGAGTAATAATAGTACCTACTTCAGAGGGTTGATGTAGGGATTAAATGGGTTAAAGGAGTTAAAAAACAAAAAGTTCATGGAAAAGTGCATAACTCTTAAAGGTACTATGCAAGAGTTTTACTTATATTTTACGTATATTATATGAGTA